GATTTTTTAATATATGCGTATATATATGTATATATAAATTTTTCTTTTATCGATGCACATACTTTACACGTTATACTATCATATCCCACATCTCTCCCTTTTGGGATGTGTGTTATTAAATTAAATTCCATCGTTCCACCAAAGGAACGATAACATCCATTGTTACTTGTCTTGTTAATGTTAATTTTTTTACATGTTGAACAATGAATGTTTTATGTCCTAATTGTTTAATAATTTTAAATGGACCTTCATATCGTATATCAAATTTATTTCTAACATTTCTTGTTTTGATTAAAACTAAATCATTAACTTTTAATAATAAATCTTGTCTATGTAAATCATATCGAGCTTTATATTGTTGTTGATTTTTTATAATATTGTTTCGAGCTTCATTGACTAATTTTTCAAGATATGTTCTAATTTTTCGACTATGCTCTGGATCTTGTGTGAGCGAAATAATTTCATGTTGTTGATCGAATGGAAGAGCAGCTTGTCGTCCATGCATCATTTCAAAAGGTGTTTGTCTTGTTGTTGCATGTATTGACGTATTATAATTAAATGTAACAAATTGTAAGACTTCATCCCAATTTGTACATCGTTCATTGCATAATGCAGCAATTTTTCCATCCATTGTCGCATTAAATCGTTCGATTTGTCCATTTGTCTGTGGATGATATACCGTAGAATATAAATGAGTAACTCCAAGATTTTCAAATAATTTGTTCGTAACTTGAGAAGTAAAATGAGTACCATTATCAGTTAAAATGCATGTTGGAGTTCCGTATTTTAATATGACATCGTTTGTAAGAAATTTCACTGCTGTTGTTGCTGAACAATCTCGAACGGCTTTTGTAATAACAAATTTTGATAATACATCTGTAAGAGATATAATATATCTATTTCCGTGCTTTGATGTTGGAGTTATTGGACCATGAAAATCCATACTTAATAATTTCCATATTCCTTCCGGTGGTGGTATTGGTTTTAATTTTCCTGGTAATTTTTGACGACGATAATTATTTTGTGCACATGGTAAACATGAATTAATATGATTTCTAGTATCAGCTATCATTGTTGGCCAATAATAACGTTCTTGAATTTTTCTTGTTGTTTTGTCACGTCCAAAATGAGCTCCATTTGCAGGTGTATCATGATATATTTTTAATATATCAGCACGTGTTCGTCCTGCTGGAACATATGGTACTGGTGGAAGTGGTAGTTGTTGTGTTCTAAATAATATTCCATCTTCAATAATATAATGTTTTTTATTCTTAATATTCTTTTTTATTTCTTGTATTGTCTTGTCTGCTTCTTGATATTTTCTTAAATCATCCATATTAAATGGAATGATCTTGTTTGGATTATCATCTGGTTGTTTGATTACCATTTCGTCATCAGTCGCTGCTTTCCCTTGTGGGATGAGCTCATTAATTTTTTCATCTGTTGGTTTAATAGATGGTGTTGCCATTGCTTGTTGTTGTAATTTGGCTTGAGCTCTAGTAACCGCTGTTGTTATTTTTAATGGAATTAAATTATTATTTAATGATGAAAATGATAAATCTGTTTGTGTTGATGCAGATTCATATTGAGTTCGTTCTTCAATATCTTCTTCAGCTATTTCGACTGGTGATCTTGAAAGATAATCTGCCATATTGTTTTTCTTGCCTTGTATGTGTTTCACCTTAAATCGATATTAAGCTAATTTTAATCGCCATCGTTCACATCTTTTATTTAATTGTTCTTTGTTTGTAAAATGAACTAACGGTTCATGATCAGTTTCTAATATAAATTCATGGCCACGAAGATATTTGTCCCATTTGTCTATTGCTTGTACTATTGCATAACATTCTTGTTCGATTGTTGGCCAATTAGTTTGTGTTTTTGTTAATTTCTTTGACATGTATGCTAATGGTCGATCACCATTAGGAGTAATTTGTAATAAAACAGCACCAATTCCATCTGTTGAAGCATCAGTTTGTAATTTGAATGGTAGTGTATCATCAGGTAAACCAAGAATAAGATCAGTTGTTAATATTTTCTTGAGTTGATGGAATGCTATTCTAGCTTCAGCAGATAATTCAAATTTTAATTTTTTATTATTCTTTTGTTGTTGTAATGTTGCTGGAGAATATTTATGTAATGGTGCAGCAATTGTAGAAAATTTTGGAATAAATTTTCTGTAATATTCTGCTGCTTTTACAAATCTAAAGGCTTCTTCAGCAGATGTTGGTTCTTGTGTTTCGGTCAGACCACGAATATTGTCAGGATCAGGTTTAATAGTACCGGCTTTAATTACATGTCCAAGAAATAATATTTCTGTTCTTGCAACTTCACATTTTTCGACATTTAATTTAAAATTTGCTTCCTTTAATAATGAACATACTTCTTCAATGTGTTTTAAATGTTCATTAAAGTTTTGTGAGTAAATAATAATATCATCGATATAGGCGAGTACATGTTTCCATCGATTTGGACCTAATATTTGATTAACAATACGTTGAAATGTTGGTGGTCCATTAGTAAGTCCTTGAGGTAATACTTTGAATTGAAAGTGTCCATCTCGAGTTGAAAATGCTGTTTTTGGTCGATCTGATTTGTCTAATGGTACTTGAAAATAACCTGCTTTGAAATCGAATTTTGTAAAATATGCTGCTTTTGTTAATTGGTCATAAATATCATCAATTCTTGGTAATGGAAAAGCATCTTTTGTTGTAATTTGGTTTAAGCGACGATAATCGACGCAAAATCTTGTTGTTCCATCCTTCTTTTTTACTAATACGACTGGTGAAGACCATGGAGATGTTGAATGTTCAATAATTCCATTTTTTAATAATTTTTCTGTTTCTTTCCTTAAGATTTCTTGATCTTTGTTGGATTTTCTATATGGTGGAGTGTGGACTGGCCGATGTGAACCCGTGTCGATAGCATTTTTTAAAATAATGTCAATCTTTGATGGTCTTCTAATATCAAATAATTTTCCATATTTCCATAAAATTTTCAAAATTTGTTCTCGTTGTTTATCATCACTAATATGTTCAGCTAATTTGTTTATTTGTTGTCTAATTTCTTCAGGATAACATTTGTTTCTAAGGTGTTTAAATAATTCATTGCCAGTATTAAAATTTCGATAACATTCACGACATTGATGTTGTTTCCCATGTAATGTTGTAGTCATCATATTATTAAAATTTAATTTGTTTGATTTATTCGCTCCTTTCCCTTCAGGAATGAGCTCTTTACACGCTTTTCCTTCCGGAATGCGTTCTGTTAAATAATTTGATGGTATGGTGACACCAATTGTAGAAGATACTTGTGTCACTATACCTAATTTGGTTCCTTTGGAAAGCGTTTGTTGTCGATTGGTTGCATTAATTATACTAATTTTTATTGTTCTATTTTCAATATTGAGTAATGCATTGGCAGTAAATAATGCTTTATTTTTTAATCGCGGATTTGGTTCAAATAATACATCAGTCATATTGTTGGGTTGAACTTTTGCTTCTACTATTTTTTCTGAAAAAGGAAGAAGAGTAATATAATTAATAAGAATAGCTGGATAATTTAGAAGAGGTGGTGTAGCAAAAGGAGTTGATACTTCTTTACCTCGACTTCGGATCATAATTCGTTGTTCAGGTGTAAGAATATAAACATTGTTTGATTGAATCCAATCACTACCTAATATTAAATTTGTAACAAGATTTGTTGTAACATCGGCAATAATTGTTGTTTTTATTCCATTGACATTTATTTCTAAAGGTATTTCACCAATAATATTTAATGTTGAGCAATTTGCAGATAAATGATTTATTGTTTTTGGTATTAATTTTTTATGTGGTATATCATTTAATAGATGTTGATGTATAATAGTGATGGCCGATCCAGTATCAATAAGTGCTTTTTGTGGAGTGTTGTTGCATAAAATTTCGACGAAAATGGGAGAAAATGTTGTTGTTGTTGATGACTTTTTGGCTCCACAGGGATCGTCGCCATCATCCGATCCCCTTATTCGAAAAAATGTTGTTGAGGACAATCACGTATTTTGTGATTTGATTGTCCACATTTAAAACAGCCGTTGTTCTTCTTATAAAAGCATTTAGTTGTTGTATGATTGTCTTTATTGCAAATTAAACATGGAGTTGATTGTTGAGTTTCCTTTTTTGCATAAGTTTTTTGATTTTGGTTAAGAGTCATATAATTATTTTGTGTTGGATATGTTCGATTACGTGTTAATGTTAATTGTTGTTGATGTTGATGTTGTTTTTTATAATAATGACGTGACGTCCATGGTTGTTGATTTGATGAGTGAACATTTGTTGATGTTGGTTGAATTGTTGCTGTTGGTAATGTATGTACAAAAAATGGTGAATTTTTTGGTTCATAATATAGAGCATTAATTTTTTGTTGAATTCGTTTTTGTATATATTCTTCTTCTCTTGCAATTTGCAACCATTGTTCAGGTTTTTTAATTTCTTTTTCGTTACGAATTAAATGTTCTTTTAATGAGTTTTTAACACCATTCTGTAATACCGTAATAACTTGTTGTTCAGTAATAAATTGTTGAAACTTTCTATATTTTCGAATAACATTCTCGTAAAATGATATAACAGATTGGTTTTCTTCTTGACGAATATAAAAAAATTCTTGTATTAATTGACTGTTTGATGTAAATTCTTTAAATCGATCTCGTAATGCTTTTTCAGCATCACTCCAGTTGGTGAATAATCGTAAATTGTCTTGATACCATCGTAATGCTGGTCCTGTTAATTTGCTCATCGTTTCAAGAATTCTTGTTTCATCTTTTAATTTCATTAATGAAAATAAATTGTTTAAATCAAATAACCATTCGTCAATATCAGTTTCATTAGCTTCCCCTGAAAATTCAGCTATTTTCTTCATCGCCTCTTGTTGACTTGAATGAAGTTGTCGAGTGTCCATCGAGGTTGTTTCCATTTCTTGCGTAGGTGAAATATCGTTTTCTTTTTTATTTCGTATTCGTGTTGGTGAATTAGTAATTAATTCGTATGATAAAAGATTCGTACCACTTTGTGTTATTGCGTTTCTTGTACCGGCAGCCGTTGTTGAAAGAAAAAAATGCACTTAAAAGGAAGGACAAAAATTTGAACTTTATATAGAAGAAGTATACCTTCTTTTGATAATTAAATTTTGAAATTAATGTATATATAAATATCTAATTCTCTCTTTCCTAGAAAGATGAGATGATATTTCACTCTTTCCGTCACGGATGAGTAAATTAATTAATAAGTTCGTTCTTCTTCGATGTAGTAAATAGAAGAAGATAGGTCACGGCACCAAATTGTTAGCTCGTTTCGACGAGCTTACGTTTCTTTTATTTTAAATGTCTATATATTCTAAAAATGTCCTTAACTTCACGTACATATATATTACAAGAAAACAATAGCAAAAAAAGAAGAAGGAAAAAAGAAAAGAAAAAGCATAACAATTTCAAAGAGAAAGAGAGAGATATAGAGGAGGTGGATCGAGGCCTGTAACAGAGTGATATAAAATATCGTATTTATACGAAAGAATAACCATTTAGTCTAATTTTTTTTAATTTATTCTACATTTCTAGATAAATGTCAAACTTATCGCTTGATAGCCTGCCAGTTGAAATTCTCCATCGGATTTTTGATCATCTCGATGTGCGCACTATTATTCGTTCAGTTCGTTGCGTTTGCGCGCAACTCCATGCAGTTGTTAACTCCTACGATCGTTTTCAACTTAATTTTACTCAATTTTTCAACCTATACGATCTTTCGCAGCACCAAATCAAATCAACAAGAAATTCTGACTTAAAACTTATTTCTAGTCTCATTCAACCGTCAAATGTCATTTTACTGGCTTTATCTGGTGGCGATGCCAACCGAAACAACATCGACATTTTCCTCAAAAATTTCAACATTAGTGAATTCACTAAACTTAGTTCATTGACTCTTTCTAGAGTCAGCAACATCGAAGTAAATCAAATTTTGCAGCAAATTACCACCCATTTTTTAGTCTCATTGACGGTTGATATGCGTGGACTACCGAACAATAGCGTCTTTTCAACTATCTTTTCAGTTATTGTTCAAACCAATCTTCAAAAATTGTATTTAAATAATCTGGATTATAGAACTAATGGAATGCCATGGCCACATCAAAGTAGATTGCAACATCTGACAATCAGAAATTGTACTTATCAAGGATATTGTACCATTCTCGGTAACTTACATTGTTTAAGAACACTTGTAATCGGAAACTGTATTATGAACAATGCCAATCAAATAGTGGCTTCATATACAGTTGCAGCATCCAACTCTGCAAAGAGACAACGTACATCGATTGATTCGACAGGTACAGAGAGTTAAATATACACCCTTCAGCTATTATCACCCAACCATCCGACTCTCACTACCCTTTCAGTTTTCATTCTATTCTACATGACTGCATTCTTTTACGCATCATGTGTCTATTACAGTTGAAAACTTGCCACGCCTAGAAACCATATGTGCCGCTACCATTCTGCCAGGGGCATCTCTGTTACATATGTATTCTCTACGCACAGGATGAATCATACGTTTAGTTGAAATAAAATCACTATGGGGACTCAGAGCACTTGTATACTCCTTAGTATTTTTATAGTAGTAGATGTTCGACTTGTCAGTTTTATGAAAAATTTTTGATGTTATACTTTGATATTATAGCGTATTCACAATTGATTTCATTGACTATCGGTGATTGTCGAATGTCAATGCAAGACCTCGAATGCCTTCTTTCATTGACACCTTCACTTGTTCATCTCAAACTGGTGTCATCTAGACAAAGACTTGATTCGATATTCGTTGGTTCTTCTTGGGTGCAATTTATTCAAAATAATTTACCTTTACTGAATAAATTTCAATTTTTCTTCACTTTTAATAACGATAAATTCGATGATAAGACTACTTTCGACTCACTTATTTTACCATTTCAAAGTCCATTCTGGCTCAGTGACAAGCATTGGTTTGTTACTTGTGACTATATTCCACGAGCGTCAATAATGAGACTTTATACAATACCAGTCTGCAGGAATGTCGAAACAAGATTTCCTATATTTCAAATATCATCGATAAATTCTGAATGTCGCTTTATTTTGGATTCAAATGAAAATATGTTCGATAACATTGGAGAAAGGGTGAGTTCGAAATGTTTTTGTCATATAAGAATGGTCATAAGCGTTTCAGCTAAGTAAATCCATGTTTTCGCTGTATCTACGAATATTTTTTATCAAATATATTTATAGAATAGAATGTGTATAGTTGAAAGTTCGGCAGGTAAATGAGTGTTTCTATGACGATCAATTCTTTTTTCTGTAATGCTTGTAACCTATTTCCATGAGGAACGTACACATACGAATACAAAATGTACCTTGAAGTCAAATAATACCTCAACAAACTCAAAATTTAAAAATTTTCTCCCATTATGCCATCAAATTCAAGACAAAGTCTGTTTCGCTAAGGTTTCTATCCATAGAGATAGATTCAAATACGCCAGTATACGCGACCAAACCCTGAAATTTGTCATTTGGAAATTTGTACTATCTTAGGGGTAGGGATGTCTTCGATAATTTCTCGCACTTGGACGCGTTTTTAAAATTTGTACGTTCAGTTTCATGCCTCCCATGAATATCCAGAAAATTTCTTCAAATTTTCAAAATATTGAGAAAACAGTCAGCTTAATAGCAAGACAATATACATTGTCTATAATGTACATAATCAGTATCATACGAAACCTAAGGGTCTTTTTCTAACCTAAAACATATATGCGACGCATTTGTGCGCATTTCACCCTTACCCCAATCCCAGTCATTCTTCACACAGATCAAATAGTTCCGCATCTTTCACGACTAGTCTCAGCACCAATTTTATCTGTGATTGTTCACTTCTCCTCGCATTTTATGATATACTATCTTCTGTTTCCATATAGACACCCTTCACATTGGATCTTACCTTCAATCGAATAGGAGATAATCTGGCACAATGCGTAGCTGTAGCACTGCTCAATTACAAAGTAATATATTTTTCAAATTCTTTGCATTCAAATTTATGTGTTATTAATCATTCAGACACTAACAATGATTGATATCTCCAATAATGAAATAGGAGATATTGGAGCACGACATCTAGCTGATGCATTACAAAGTCATCCAGTAAAATTTTTTCACATCGACTGAAATTATACTCATTTCTTACGTTATTCGTAGACAGTTACCATTATAGATCTTTCTAATAATCACATTGAAAACAATGGAGCAAAGTATCTTTACGATGCCTTGAAAGGAAACGAAGTAAACTTTCAACACTTTTCATTTATGGTAAATTTTCTAATTCTTTGATATAGACACTAATCAAATTAGAACTCCAAAATAATCCTGGTAGCTATTGCACAATTGTCAGTGCAGCATTTGAATTACGAAGCACAAAAGTAACTCGCTTCTTTCGGGTTCTTTTTGATCATATCTGGTTTTTTTTTGGAGGCGCCAATCAAAATCAGTTTTAAGTCAAAGAATATCGGCGACAATGAGATTAAGTTTCTATCGGAATTACTACTCAACAATGAAGTAAGATTATTTCTTGACTTATTTAATCAATGATCACATATTTGTTCTCCTTCAGACACTAACAATGCTTGATATCTCCAATAATGAAGTAGGAGATGTCGGAGCACAACATTTAGCTGACGCATTACGAAACCATAAAGTGATATTATCTAGATTCATTTTAGATCTACTCATGTCTTATATTATATGCAGACACTTACTATTCTAGATCTTTCCTACAATAAAATAAGCAACGATGGGATTCAATATCTTAATGATGTTTTCAAAGAAAATAAAGTTAATCTTCAGCGCTTTTCATATGTCTTAAATATCTTTTTCTTTTACATAGATATTTAAAGAATTGAGACTTCAAAATAATCCTGGTAGCTATTGCACATCTGTCAGTGCAGCCTATGCAATACGAAACAGCAGAGTAATTTATTTTTGTCAAATTATTTTCATAAATTTTGACCTTTTCTATAGAAAATTGGTAGGATGAATCTTACAAATAAAAGCATTGGTGATAATGATATTAAATTTATAAGTGAAGCATTACATAACAACCAAGTAATAGAATTTATCTATGTCTTCCACTAATAATCATATTTTTGTTGTGATGTAGACAATCATACAGTTAGACCTTTCAGGAAATGAAATTGGAGATATAGGAGCGCAGCATTTAGCTGACGCATTACAAAACAATAAAGTGATTGATTTTGTTTTTCTTTTATCTGAATTTGAGTTTATTCGTCTAGACTCTAACTTTACTGCGATTGGGAAGTAATTATGAAAAGAAACAACATAATAGTTGTTCGGTCTTCAACCCAAAAGTATCTATCCATTTCTACTCACTTATATAGAGAGTTACGTTCTTTCGTATATAGTCATATTCATACGAACGAGACTCAGATACTCTTCGACAAAATCGAATTGGAGACGAAGGAGCAAAGTATCTTGCTGATTCATTAATGACTAACAAAGTGAAGTATATACTATGATTACTTCAGTTGTTCTAATCGCTATTTTACCTCATAGACACTGACAACATTAAATCTATCATGTAACCGAATCGGAGATATTGGCGTGAAATCTATCGCAGATGTATTAAAAAATAATACGGTAACTTTAGAATTATTTTCATTTATTCTGTACTATATTAATATATTCTTGCACAGTCACTAGTTAGATTGATTCTCGGAAACCAACATGAAGAGAATTCAATTGGAGATATCGGGGCACAATATTTAGCCTATGCATTACAGCAGAATCAAGTAAAGTATTTCTAATGCTCATTCTCATTTTCATCTTTGTTATTTTTTATCAAGATCTTAACTATTCTGGACCTTTCTTCAAATAAAATTGGAGATGTCGGTACACAATACTTGGCTAATACATTACAAAACAATCAAGTGACATATTAATTACGATCATTTCAACCATATTAATCTTCGTTTCTTTTCATAGACATTAGTCATTCTGCACCTTGAAGGAAATCGAATAGAAAATAATGGTTTGCAATATTTGGATAATGCGCTAAGACATAACAAAGTCAGTTTTATAATAAAATGTTTATGTTGAATTGATCTTTATTGTTTAATATAGACACTTATGAAACTGGATCTTCAAAAGAATCCTGGTAGTTATCGTACAGCTGTGAGCGCAGCAGTTCAAATACGAAACAATAAAGTAATTCATCTTTGTCAGATTATTTATCATGAATTTTGATTTTTCTACAGACGATCACTCAAATGCATCTTAGTTGTGCCAGCATTGGTGATAATGAACTTAGATTTGTAAGTGAAGCATTACATAACAATGAGGTAATAGAATTTATTAATTTTTTTTGACTAATAATCATTTTTTTGTTTTGACGTAGACAATCACCGAATTAGACCTTTCAAGCAATGAAATCGGTGAAATAGGTGCACAACATCTATGTAATATGTTGCAAAACAATACCGTAAAAATAATTTCTTTTTTTGGGCTGATGTGATCAGTAATAATGATTTTTGTTTTGAATAGACAATTACTTCGATTGATCTTTCAAGAAATCGATTTCCTGATATTGGGATAAAATATCTGGCTGATGCTTTGAAAAACAACAAAGTGATGAATTATTCTCAGTCTTTTCATTACTATCTATTTTCGTTATTTCATATGTAGACACTTACCAAACTGATACTCAATTCTGATTTTATCGATAAGCATCAAATCAGTGACATCGGGGCACAATATTTAGGCGATGCCTTAAGAAATAATACAGTAATATAAACTTGTTAATGTTTTTTTTTATTAAAATTAATTTTTACTTCTCTATCCAGACATTGAAAGAATTGAAACTAAATATGAATTCACATGGATACTGTGCAGTTGTAGAAGCGATGATTAAATTACGAAACGACAAGGTAATTGGGCATTGTTTACACTCTATTATTGATCTTCATTTTTTTTCTAGACTTTCACGACATTAAATCTTGGTGGAATGAAAATTGGAGATAGAGAAATACAATATCTTGTTTATGGATTAGAAAACAATCGAGTATCATCACATCCATTTTGTTTTCCTCATATAGAGTTTTTTTTTCATACAGACATTGACTGTACTGAATCTTCGAGGTAATCGAATTGGTGGAAATGGAGCAAAATATCTCTCTGGTGCATTAAGAAACAATACAGTAAGATTTTTAATTCTCTCTCAGATTTATTTTCAATCTTTTCACAGACGTTAACAGAGTTAAATCTTGAATACAACCAAATTAGAGATAATGGAACACAATATGTAGCTGATGTCTTAAAGAACAATATAGTAAGATTTCTAGCTCTTTCTTCGATTTATTTGCAATCTTTTTACAGGCATTGATAACATTAAATCTTGCGCACAACAAAATCGGACGCTTTGGTGCACAATACTTAGTTGAGGCTTTAAATAAAAATAAAGTCATTTATTTTTTTGATACATTTTTATTTTTATTGACGTTTAATTTTTATTCAGACACTTCTTACACTTGATATTGAAGCGAATCATATTGGAAATATTGGAGCAGAGCAATTGGCTTCTGCCGTGAAAAACAATAAAGTAACGAACTTTGTTCACTCATCTCACATTGAATTATCTTGATTATTGTACTTAGACTCTCAAAGAATTGGTACTTGCCAATAATCAAATCACGACGGAAACACGAAATCGTTTGGCAGGAGATGAGAGACTTCGTTTTTTCGTACATTATGATGAAGATTCTGATTCTGATGAATGTGTTTATTATTATGAATCGGATTAATTTTTAATTCTTTTATTCATATTTTAATAAAACAAATAAATATAATGATCTAAATAACAATATCACATATTCAATAACTAAAACACTTCCAAATGAAGATCGTACACAACTTTAATCTTGAGAATAAATCTTATTTCGCGATTTTGAGCATTGCGGAACCAAGTCTGCACCAAAAATCAAGTTTATCTAGTTCCGTGAACTCGAGCATGATTATATGGCAGAAATCTAATCGGTACTGGTTACACCATTAGTTCCACGGATATTACACTTATATATGAATCAGATCTGGTAAAAAAAGAGACATATCGGATTTTTTCTCGTAGTTACCAGAGACCGAAACAAATAAGAAAACCTGTATTTGAATTCGATCCGATTCGACATCTCTTCTAAAACTTCGCATTCGGATTCGATTCGATTCATTTTAGATCTACTTCGAAAAATCACTTTTTTCCACTATTGCACAGTATATATTTTTTGTACGACCTTTCGTTCTAGCCATGACAATTCTTCATCGAGAAGTTGCAGAGCACCTACTACTACCGGACAGTGTTTGAATATGACGTGTGAGATTTACTACTCATGAGGAAGATCATATAGTAGAGAGTATCATGCAAGTCAGGGAGCAAGACCACAAATTCATCCATATCAATATCATTATTCGTTAAAAGATCTACAATAATGCTAAAAATGGTTCAATTAGACGACCCTAGTGGAACATCTTGTAAGCAAGATGTTGCCAAGATACAAGGTACAGAAATATGAACAGATCTTGACTAAAATATAACAAGTCCAAAAACGATCATCAAGATTCTTTTATAGGTGACTTTTGATACTTCTTAATTAGCCTATCTAATGTAAAATTTGATGCTGAATCCGAATCTGAAGTCAACTTTCTTGTATAAACACTAATAGCCAAATTATTGGCCAATGGTCAATGAAAGAAAAATTCCGAAATCGTCGGTTTCGTGAACATGGTTGAATAGAGAACGTGTTTTCTTGAACAACTCGATAAAATCTAGTTTCAATAAGTAGAAAAATAGATTCTGAAAATACTATCAAGTCAAGGTCTTGGCCAAGATTTTAAGGACTTAGGTATAGAATTCTCATTGTCCTGTGATAATCACATCAGATGAATCTTGGGTACAGATAACAGATATCGCTTACAAGATGTTTCACTAGGGAACAAACGACAAGTAACAGAAAAAGATTTTCTGTTTTAACTTTCTGGCAGTACACACTAAACAGATTGCAAAGAAGACAATGAACTTAAATCTTTAGTATTTATGAATATGATTTAGACGCACTTCGATAGAGTCTTATATTTGTGTTTTTTGAACTCAAATCATTTATGAGATTGGATTTAAATCATCCTTACAAAGAAAAGAAAAAAACCAATTTAAATAGTTAAATAGAATAGAATGACACATTTTTTTCACTATATTTTATTGTTATTCTTAGATAATGTTATTATAGATGTTATCTATCCGATAGAAGATTCGCTCTTACACGTATTTAAATGACGAAGAAAAAGTAAATGAAAGCAACAAGATAACAAAGATAATAAACTTATGCTTTTTTTTCCTTCGTAATAGAAATATCTATAATAAAATGACAGAAATGACTTGAAGTAAATCAGTAAATAAATGACTGACTGTTCTTTTACATCCTATTAGATGGTTTATAATAGAATTATTTGAAAAAAAAATGATTAACCCTTTGAGTACCGGATTATTTTTATATAATAAAAATTTTTATAATTTCAAACTAACGTTTATTTCGCAAAAAATATCACAAAGTACATGAATTAAAGTGCTTGTAGAGTGTGATAGTCTTTAAAACAATCCATAAGACACAATCCTACGTCACATTCAATGCATTCATACGAAGTATCTCTTCTTGATCTGGCTCTTCTCACAGTATTGGCACAAACGTAACATTTTCTTCTTGGATTTAGTTGCGTCTCTGTTGATTCAATATCCGAAGGAAAATGTCGTGCTGTGAGTCGCAGTGGACTTTCAGAAAGTGGTCGACCGATTGAACTTCGCACCTGGCTACCGTATTTTCCAATCATTTCTCGGACCACCTCAAGTTGGTCCTTCGTGATCTTTTATATCAAAAAGTGCATTCTACATTAGTTATCAAATGTGGTCAATTGATCAGAATCTATACTATAGATAACACTCTTGAATGACTGTGTTAATATGAAAAATCCTGTTGATAATGATTATTCTTTCTTGGGAAATGTTGTCCAATGACTTATGTTCTAATTCATTGAATCACATAATGATCGATAGAAATATTAGGAAATAACCAATAGTCATCACTAGGTACAGATAGTCTTAATCGTACAAATATCCTAAACGTAAATATTCATGTAACTCATATCATAAAATAATCAAACGATCATGTTTTCTAAAGTTATTCAGACCCTAAACTATCAGGACGCAAATTCGTGTCGTTGGTACTCAAAGGGTTAATTTTTGTTACTTTTCATTCAAAATAATTCAGACGAATCGTAGTTTTTTGTCTTCCTTTTATTTTTTTCAATAATTATTTTTCTTTCTCAATGTTTTTTTTTCTTGCATGTTCTGTGGATTTATATTGGAAAAACTGATGTATTATATAAAATACACGTGCAGTCTTTTTCTTTTCAACTACTATAAATCAACAATAATTTTTTGATTTCTATTAAGATTTTTTGACTTAATTTCTATATGGAACAAATTAAAAGATCATGGAATAACATTATAGATAACTATGATGATAACAAAAGGAAAAAAAATAGTAAGAGTCATGTTTAGTTTTTTTTTTATAATTAAGGGTGTGGGTGGGTGTGGGTGTATTCGTAATTAATACCAACACCCAGACCCACCCACACCCACACCCACACCCTTTCTCATTAAAAAATACTGAGAATTCAAACATTATTTTTGAAAACTAAATGATAGATTCTGTAGAGGACTATTCAGGCTACAAAATCTCAGCGTAACTTTTTTTTTCTGAATTTGTTTATATTTTTCAAAAACTAGAATTTACTCGTTGTTAGTGACGTGACACAGTACGAATATTTTTTTTAAATTGAAAGTGAAGTTCAGACTTAATTTTAAGTAGCACAAATATTTTTTTTTGGTAATCGCGACATGATGGAAAAACAAACGTTTTTGTTGTGGAGACAGAAGAAGATCTCTAAAACAACCAGTTTTTAACAGGTACTTTTGTTTGAAGTTTGATGTTGCTAAAAATTTCACCATAGACGTAGTTTGTGATATAGAGACTATCCCAAAATTCTTAGATCTTTCTGTCAAAAGTTTAGAAAACTATTCGTTCATTATGGTTTAACCTCACAAATAATTAGTTTTAAAAAATTTTAATTATTTTTAAGTTTAAATAGTCAACATTCTTTGGCTATGATCTGAGTATGGGCGTGGATGTTGTGTCGTGCTTTATTTCTCCATATATCTATACCCACGCACACTATACTGTAAACCGATTCACACCCACAAATGAAAAGTGTAGCTCAGAAGCACTGTCTGTAGATGTCCACAGTTTTTTACATGTATCCATCATTTTTCATAGGTACATAATCATTCGTTCATTCACTTCTTTTTTTGTTGCTAATGATTCATTCGATATGTTATTTTGCCGTTCTGTTTTTTATATGATACGTGGTTTTCGGTGTTGATTCATTCTTTTTTTTAGCATTAGCTCATATGCCACGACGACAACAACAAATAAGAACAGATATATAACTACCACGTTTGCAAGCGTGTTCTCTATTTTTCTTTTAGACGTAAACATTGAAGTACAGAATTTTAGAGAATTTTTATACAAAGAAATACATGGCAGAGACAGTATCGACAATGAATAATACACCACCATCCACCACAATCGTTCAAATTAATGTCAAACAAGAATGTCCAGTACAATATGTAACTGTATACAATGATCGTGCAGAATTAACACGTCTTGTTCGATATCATTTCGATAATGAAGGCACTTATGATCTTGTTCTCCAAGGTTTATCACCTTGTGTCGATCTAACTTCATTTCATGTTAGCGGTGGAACAGGCAAAGCATGTACTATTCTTGAAGTTTCCTATCAAACACGTTACGAAGATCCATCAGCACCATTATCCGATACAACACCACTCGATCAATTGCAAACGCAATTAGATGTTGTTCAAGCAGATGTCGATGAACATGCTCAAGAACTTGATCGACTTAAAAAGCAACGAACATGGCTCGATGGAAGAGCATCAAAACTGATGAATCAAGAAGGGCATATGAGTACAAGTGACTTGGAAACAATGGAGCAATTTCTTAACTTTTACCACAAAATGCTCAGCAAAATAGATAAAGAAACAACTCAAGAGCAACGACAATTGAAAGAATTGAATAGTCGACGTGATGCACTTACAGCTAAAATAAATGAACATGGTTTACAAGCAACAACAAATCGACGCATAGAACAGCGTGAAGTAACTATTACTGTTCATGTTGCTAGCAGTAAAACTGATGTTGCCTTGGAAGTATCCTATTTAATCAGCAATTGTTCATGGAGTGCAAGCTATGATATACGAGTTGATAGTGAAGAAGGAAGGCAACCAAAAACTCAACTTACTTATTACGGTATTATTGTGAGTATTGTTCTATTAAACAAGGGTCTTTTCTAACGAATAATATAAATGAATGGAAATTTTTTTGATCAGAAACGTTTCGCATATGATTAATCAAATTTTGCAGTAAAAATAAATGCTTCTTTCTTATTCTTGACAATTTTATATATTCAATGAATTCGATCGTTTTCGGAGAGTACACGAACTCTCAAAGATTTAGACAACTCTGATTCTATTTAAAGAAGACATACTGAATCGTTTTAGATTCCACAGTTTCGGATGAAAACCTTTTCAAGTACAAGATCTTTTGACTAAAACTTAGAAATGTTCACTATGACTTCTTTTTTTTCAGAGAGTAGTTCTAGTTCTTATCATAGGTGTAGT